GGGGCGTGGCCGGGCTGGGACAGAGAGGCCACGTGACCGCCTTGGGAAGGGGGGGAAGGAAACTAGTTCCCCTGGGCTTCTTTTTCCTTTTCACTTCCCAGATTTCCCGCCCGCTCTCCCCTTTCCCCTCTAAGCTGGGACAGGTGATTAAAGCGTGCACGTTAATGACTTCATGTGAGCTAGTTCAGACTACAGTGTAAAAACTTTACCAGCCTCATGTGAAGGGCTAGAGTTGCCTTTATTGGTGTGTGTGTGTGAGTTCTTGGGCAAGCTACTTTTTTTTTTTATTAGCCTAAAATGAATCATACAGCGGGGGTTTCATGATGCTATTTACAAGCATATACTCATAATCTGATGAAGTTCACTGTGATACTGTGTCCTGAGCCCTGCCCTCCTCTCCCCTCCCCCTATTCTGACGGGTCTTCCTTTATGCCCTTTTTATACATACACAATGCACTTCTGGTCTTACACACCCCTCCCCCTCGCCCTCCCCTTCTTCCCCTTCCTCCTCTACAACAGTCCAGCCTCCATAGGAGACATTCCTGCCATGACCTGTCCCCTCCGGAAGTCAGACTGGAGTTGAACCTCCAAACTCATGGAGGCTGGAGACTTAACCCTACCTCGGTGCTCAGAGGAGAGGGCTTGGGAGGTGATAGAGATCGGGTGATGATGTCCCCAGCGTAGGGGGGACCCACAGCCCTGGCTTGACAGGAAAAGGGAGAGGGCAGACACACGGACACGCTCATACTAGGGCTCTCCCCAGAGGGGGTACTCCCTCCCCACAGTGGGAATTCCACTAACAAGGCCCACACTACGTGTGGCCCCTTCACTTTGGACCAGACAGGGTGTGTGACTGAGGAACAGGCAACAGAATATAGTCCAAGATGACTTCTAGCAGAGTTCTCTTCCAGTCCTGCCCCTCCCCTCTCCTTCACCTTCTTTCCCACCTCCTCTCTGTTCATCTCCCCCTCCTCCCTCTTCCCTTCCCCCCTCCCCCTTTGGATTCCCTTCTTGCAGATGGGAAATGAAACTTGGGTTCATGCTCATAGTTCATATGCTCATAATGTTTATTACTGTGCCCATTATTAAAATAGCCAAAGAAAAATCCATTTAAAAACTGCCCAACTGTCAGTCCAGGCAGTATTGACGTTTCAGCTTGACTGGTTCATGGTAGAGCATAAATAGGTGGGCATCTGAAGCAATTCCTTACAGACCCATTTTGATTCTTCTCCAGGTTCTTCTCTTGGAGTTGGACCTGATTTTGTTACCAGTTTTCATCCGAATCCACTGGGGAATGGGGCGATTTTGCTTTTGTTTCTTGGCCAGAAACCGCTTGATTCTGAAAGTCTTGTGAGAAGACACGATGAGAAGCTCTGGAAGACACAGTAACCGCCATGGCGAACAAAAGCTGAAGAGAGTCTGAGAACTTTGTGTCTCTCCGGGAGAGGTGGCCCTCTAACACGGGGATGCGTTGTGACGGGCCATGCCCATAGCTTGCTGGTCCCCACAAAGGTGGAGGCTGGCTGGACACAGGCTTTGGCTCCTGTTGGGAGGCTACATCTCCGCAGGAGGTAAGCGTGAACAAGGCGCACACAAGGAACACAAGTCGGGAGAACAGGCTTGAGCAGGTCTCGTTGATTTCTGTGCAAGGGGGGAATTTTATAGCCCCAGCTTTCCCAGCCTCCTGAGTCCTTCCCGGCCAATCACTTAGCGGGAAGTTAATGTAAGGCACTTGTGGTGGGCACTGACTGGTGACGGGCACTGATTGGTCCCTCGGGGGCATGTAGGGAGCGTGGACAGCTCATGGCTAGCCGGCCAGGCAGACATGCCCGTGGGTCACGTCTCCATGAGCAGGAAGTGTGCTTCCACTGCTACTCTAGCTGACTCAACCAGATCTGACCAGCTCTACTCACAAATTCCCCCTTTTCTTTTAAAAGGACCGTCATTATGGTGACCTGTTGTTGGAGGCGTCTTTGTCGGGAGTGCAAGCACTTAATTATTCCCAGAAGAATAACCCTAGGGCTAGGAAGATGGCGCAGTGGTAGAGCACTTGCCTTGCATGCCTGAGGCCCTGGGTTCGATTCCTCAGCACCACATAAGCAAAAAGGAAAAAGCCGGAAGTGGCACTGTAGGTCAAGTGATAGAGTGCTAGCCTTGAGCTGAAGAGCTGAGGGACAGCGCCCAGGCCCAGAGTTCAGGCCCTAGGACTGGACCAAAAACAAAAAAAACAAAACAGAAAAATAACCCTAATAGCACAAGGCCTCCCCAGATGACCAGAGGGGATGGTGAAAACCATTGCTGTAACTTTTGAAGCACATCTTTTAAAAAGGAGGCAGTGGGAATAGCTGCATGGTGGTCTGGTTTAGGCAGGTAACATCATGCAGCAGGTGGTGGGTGAAGTTTAAGTACTTAAGGGACCAAGGGCCTTTGATGTAGTCACTAAGTTTAGTGACACTGGGCGCGGGAGTGGAAAGCTGACAGTAATCAGAGCTTTACATAGTCCTCCCTGTTGTAATCGAAGAAATGTAATCTCTTCTTGGAGCAAATCTATTTGTTGTTGGAGGCCTCCCTTAAGATGATTGGCAACTTGCAAATGTTGTAATTCTATGGATGACAGTTAAGGGATGAGCTGGTTTATCTGATGCACGGTGGACACGCTTTGGGACAGCAATATAGTGGCGATGGTAGCGGAAGCTACTGAAGCAATGATTGCTGACAGGATCACAATGATCAATCCTACTGCTCTTTTAGGGCACAGACGAATTAATTGAACCTGGGAAAACTGAGAGTCATTAGTAGCCAGAACAATAAATGGGGAAACACGTACCAAACCTGCAAAGGGATATGAGTCATGGGGTTGCCAGTGATTGCTGAGACTGCAGGTGTCAGAGGAGTTGTCTCCTAGATAAAAAAAGAACAGGGCTCTAACCACTACCATTCCTGACCCCTGGTCGCATGCAGATCGGTTACAGCGACGAGTATTGGCCAATAGGATAGGGGACAAATCCAGGCAGGAATGTGATGAACAAACGATTGGTATGGGGGAGGGGGTCCTAGGTCTCCCAATCGTCCCCCTGAAGAGTTATAAAACTCCTTTAGATTTTGAGGTTTGGGATCTTTTTCAGATTGGTTGTATATAGCAGAGGGACAACTCGAGGTCCTCAAATACTTTGCCTTGCCAGGAACTGGCACAAAGGCTAATCACTAATTCCTCAAGAGGAGTGGAAGCATTGCCAAAGCTATCGATCTCCCTGCGTGGGCACAACTGCGTATGGAAAGGAATGTCAGCAGCCCGGGTGCAGTTTCTTTCGGTGGGGCAAATGGGGTAGGGCCCGGTGTAGTTCCGCCATCCCGACCCGTGCGTTACTGTTGCGAGGGGGATGGTACAGCCATCAAACAGCTTTGCCGTCTCGTTTGAAAAACAAAAAGAGATGGCTCCTCCCATCCAAAAGTAAGGTTTGTTTTTTGGTGCCATAGGGCGTCTGCCGAGACAGGAAGGCCAACCGTGCCATTGGAAGAAAGCATTTGAGGGACGATGGTGGTATCTTCCCCTACCATCATCAAGCTTTGGGGGCTGGGCACTAACGTTATCTTACCCTGCCCTGCAGCAGATTGAGAATTGGCTGTAATAATGGCACACAATAAGAAGAATTGAGTACCATGCCCGGGGTCAGTATCTGGGACCATAGCCTGGGCTTGTTCTACCAATCCCTTTAGGTCTCCCCAAGTGATCACATGGGCTTTAGCTGGAGGTCTGCGTCTCCTCCTCCTCGGGCTGTTCAAGCGTAGTAGACGCATCTCATTCGTAGGTGGTGACAGTTGGTCAGACAACTCCAGCTGGGATCCAAGCAGGTTTATCACTCGTGTCTGGAAAGATACAAGCAAATCCTCTCCCTTGTGCCATTAAGGGAGCAGGGCCCAGAGTAGGTGTTTTCATGAATCCCCAATGCAGGGCCACGGGGGGACCCGCGTGTGGTGGGTGTGAATGTTAAAAAGTTTTTTTCTATAAGGCAATAATTTAATTGTGTTTGGGGATCTTTAAGCCCAACCCCTCCAGTTCCCCCTTTTCTTTTAAAACAAGGGTCTTAATTTCCTTATGACTGCGTTCAACAATGGCTTGGCCTTCTGGGTTATATGGAATACCTGTCTGGTGCGTAATGTTCCAAAGGGTACAAAATTCACGAAAATGTTTGGAGGTGTAAGCAGGGCCATTGTCTGTTTTAAGAGTCCAAGGAACGCCCGTAATTGTAATGGCATGTAGAAGTGACTTAATAGTGTGTCTTGTTTCACCTGTTAAGGCTAAGGCTGTTATAAAGCCTGAGAATGTATCTATGCATACATGGACATATTTTTGTTTGCCAAATTGGGGGATATGGGTTATGTCCATTTGCCATGTGCCATTGGGCCTAAGGCCTCGCAGATTTGTTCCCATGGGTTGAAGTGGTCCTAAGGGTAAAAGAGGCGCACAGGAGGAGCAGGACCGAATCATGTGCTTGCATTGTTGGTGCGTCAAATCAGGAAATAACTGTTTGATAGTAGCTGCCGATAAATGAAAGCGACCAGGTAACGTTCGGGCCTGGTCCATGGACGTATTGGTGAGTAATACAGTTGGTGTGACAGCATGATCAATGGCTTTATTACCAGCAGCAAGGGGCCCGGGGAGGTTAGTATGAGATCTAATGTGTTGAATGTGCCAAGGTTGGGCACGATTGTCTAGTACAGTTTGTAGTTTACACATTATCCGCATTACATCATGACCATCATCTTTTGTTTTTTTTTTTTGTCGGCATGGGGCTTGAACTCTGGGCCTGGGCGCTGTCCCTCAGCTCTTCAGCTCAAGACGAGCGCTCTACCACTTGAGCCACAGCACCACTTCCGGTTTTCTGGTGGTTTATTGGAGATAGGAGTCTCACGGTCTCTCCTGCCCGGGCTGGCTTTGATCCGCGATCCTCAGATCTCAGCCTCCTGAGATGACCATCATCTCTTAATAACGCTCCAGGAAGAACGGCAACAGTTTGTACAGCATATAAACTATCAGAAAAAATATTAAGAGGTTCTCTGGGAAAAGATGTAAGGGCGAGTAAAATGGCCAGTAACTCAGCAGCTTGAACGGACAGGGAATGTTGTTGAAGCATGTATTTTTTAGTATTGGCATTATAAAATCCATAAACAGTTTTGCTAGCATCTGTAAAAGTACAACGGCTTGAGGGATAGGTTGCCCCTTGGGATGAGTACAACATTTCCATGAAAGTGAGAGTTCTTGGGTAATTTTTAAAATGGGGTTCTTGGGCATATGATTATCAATGTTAAAATAATAGTGGATGACTTGTAAGGCTAATTCCTCTTCGGTCGTCAGGAAATCAAAGATTGCTTTTCCAATGGGCCAAATAAGACGGTCGGGGAATCGGCCATAAGTTTGAAGGCGTCGTTCCTTGCTTTCGATGGCCAAGTTGCATAGCATGGTAACGGGTGTGCTAATTTTTGGGAAGTGGCAAGGTGTACCCATTATAACATACCATGGATTTGTGTCAGCGCTGCCATTAGGCCATTATTATTTAATATAATCAGGGTGATTTCTTGGGTGGTATCTAAAAACACCAAGGGGGTTGACCATAATCGATCAGCAACTTGTTGTAAAACTTGTTGAGCATCCGGGGAAAGTATATGAAGGAAAGTTGGGTCAGAGGGTCCCTGAAGCAATTGAAATAAAGATCAGAGCTGTTGGGTAGGGAGACGCATAAAATCATGTACCCAATTGATATGTCCACATAATTGTTGTCATTCAGTTGAAGTATATTGGGACTTAATGACAATACTAGGCCAATTTGGGGTAAATGTTTGATTTAGATGATATCCAAGATAGGCGTAAGGGGCTTTGAGTTGAATTTTTTTCAAGGGCAATATGAAGGCCTAGCATTGTAAGGTTTTCCTGGAGTTGTGTTAAACCGGTTTGCATGGTTGTAGCATCTTTATGTGCTATTAAAATGTCATCCATATAATGGACACAAAAGCATTTTGAAAGCAAAGGCCTAATAGCATGGGCAATATACATCTGACATAGTGTAGGGCTATTTTTCATTTCTTGAGGGAGAACTTTCCATTGATATCGACGAGTAGGTAGTTGACAGTTAGGTTCCCATACTGAGAAGGCAAAATATTCCTTATCTTTGGGATGTAGGGGGATGGGAGAAAAGCAGTCCTTGGTGTCAATAATGGCAATGTGCCCACCTTTGGGTATTGCAGAAGGGCGTGGGAGTCTGGGTTGAAGCGTTCCCATCTTGTAGGTCCTGGAGAAGTCTCCATTTCCCTTGAGCCCTTTTTTGGATAATACAAATGGGAGAATTGTGGGGGCTGGTGCTAGGTTCTATGTGTCCCTTTTTAGTTGCTCCTCCACTAGAGCCTGGAGATGAGGGAGCTTTTCAGGGTAATAGGCCATTGTTGGACCCAAATGGGTTTGGTGGTGTCCCACTGGAGTGGAAATGGCTCTGGTCGTGCAACAGTGGCCATTAGAATTGGGGGTACTGTGGGTGATGAACGGCTCGATCGGTTATGATGTCACCCGCTGTTAGTGCAGTACCCACACTAGTGAGGCCATCTCTTCCCCAAAGACTGCAGGGAAGGCCAGGGGCGACAAGAGGTTTAAAAGCCCCGGTGGCCCCATCACAGTCTTCCCAGGCCATTGGACCTGGAGGGAAGCTGTTTTTCCACCGACACCTTGCAGGCAGGGGCCAGGAATTCGGTTCCACCCCAACCCTTCGACTTCCTCCTTCCTAAGTCCTACGTACAGTCAGCCCCGTATCAATAATGCCCTTAAATTTTGTTCCATTAACCTTAAGTTCCATTCTAGCTTTTCCGTTTTGGATAGGAATAGAACATAACACCTGGGGTGGGGGCTGGTGCCTTTGTCCTCTTGGGGTCGGGGCTGCCCCTTATTTAGTTTAAAGGCTGAGTCTTTTTTTTGGGGGGGTCCGGTCGTGGGGCCTGAACTCTGGGTCTGGGCGCTGTCCCTCAGCTCTTCAGCTCAAGGCTAGTGCTCTACCACTTGAGCCACAGCGCCACTTCCGGCTTTTTTTCTTTTTGCTTATGTGGTGCTAAGGAATTGAACCCAGGGCCTCAGGCATGCAAGGCAAAGCGCTCTACCACTGAGCCACCTTCCCAGCCCCTAAAGGCTGAGTCTTAGAACGGCATCTGGAGGCCCAATGAAAACCCTTTTTGCATTTAGGACATGCGGAAGGGGGTTGCTTTTTGCTTTCTTTTGAGTGAGCCCGGGAGTGATGGGCAATCCTTTTCAACATGACCAGCCCCGCCACATCCCCAACCAGGTCGGGTTCCCGCTGTGCCATTAGGGGGCGCTCGGGCGCTGGCGGCCGTAGAGGGAAAGCCTGTGCAAGGGTACTCATGGCATGACCTGGTGTCCCCAAATCTTTGGTGGATCCAGTCAGTGATCTCCCCATTTCGTTCAGGGGCAATGGCCTTCCTGCATTCCCGTGTGGCTCCTTTCCATATTAGGGTCTTGGTTTGCGCATCTTGGGCTCCAGCGTGGGATACCTCCCGGGCCACTGCTTCTTGAACCCGGGCAATGAAGTCAGTGAAAGGCTCATTGTTGTATGTGGGTTTTTGGTTGTTTGTCCCCTTCTTTAGAAGGGACTGAGGAGACAGCCCGCAAGGCACAGAGGCGTGCTTGGTCAAAGTACTGCAGGGGCCCCGCTGCTTGTGCGGTGGGAGACGCATAAGCTCCCTCAGGGTCCCCCATGTTGGCATGGTGCCCCCCCCAGCAGCGACGTTTCCTGCACTGTGTCGTTCACATTCATCATAAAAAGCAGCCTTCCGTAAAAGGAAGTCCCCCGATGATAATGCCGGGCGCATGAAGCTCTTCCAATCACGGGGGCAGCTAAGAGCGATGCTGGGGGTGCCGAGCACCTGCTGAGCATGCGGGGTGCAGCCCGTCTGCCCTGACAGCGGTCGGTACCGCTCAAGCACTTTTGGGTCATGGGGGCACCACTGGTGGGGCCGTGCGGCGGTTCCGTGGACGTTTACCGGGAACACGAACTGGGGTTCGTCCATAGGCTTGGCCGCCATTGCCACGGTGGTTGGGGGGCCGCAAACAACTGTTGAATTACAGGGGGAACAACGGGTTCTCCTTCAAGGATACAAAGTCCCCCGAGGGGAGTTCCCGGGCTGGCCTGCACGGTGGGCCAGATGTCCCGGGACGGACGGCGCGGGGAGGCCGGCCCCCGGGGTCCCACGATGGCGGACGTGGTTGGTCATCCGCGGTCTCGCTGGGATTGTTGGCTGAGCTCCGCCATCGCAGCGAGGCGTCGGTCGCCTTCTTGTCTCCCGATGGACAGGCGTGAATGGCCACGGCGGTGGGGTGGGCCTCGCGGACTTCTTGTTTGGACGCGGGCCCCGCTGTCTGGATCCCAGGTGGCCCCGGAGTCGATCCGGGGCGCAATCCACTCAGTTTCCCCTATGACACCAGCTTCCTTTTCTGACACTCGTATCCGCCGACTGGGGAGCAGGGCGGCAGGCCTCGCACCTGAGGCTCTGGGGCTGCGGGGGAAGGTCGCCCAGACCGTCCGTCTGCCGAGAGCGCGCGAGCCCCGCGCTGGGCGCCACTTGTTCGACGCGCACTAGGAACACGCACCCGGAGCGCAAGGGGGGATTTTACTGCCCCAGCTTTCCCCACCTCCTGAGTCCTTCCCGGCCAATCGCTCAGCGGGGAGTTGGGCGCTGATTGGTCCCTCGGGGGCAGGTAGGGAGCGTGGGCGGCTCGTGGCTGGCAGGCCGGGCAGCCGTGCCTGTGGGTCACGGTCTCCGTGAGCAGGAAGTGTGCTTCCACTGCTGCTCTAGCTGACTCAACCAGCTCTGACGGGCTCTACCCACATCCTGCAAGGTGAACCCCGGGCAGTGGGAGCAGGGGCGGTCCCTGCCGCAAGGCTGAGGAGTCCTGGTCAGGCTGCAGAAACCCCAGGACGAGGCCAATGGAGAGAACCCCCCCCAGCATGTCTCACTGTCTCTGTTATAAGTGAGGAAATAAGGCTCAGACAGGGTGATGGGCAGGCAACCACAGAAGTGGCCTGGATTCAGTCCTAAAGGTCTGGGCAAATTTGGTGACCATGGAGGTCAACAGATTTATTATATATATATATATATATATATATATATATATATATATATAGTATACATAAAATATATACATATATAATATACACATATATGACTATATATAGTCAGTCCTGGGGCTTGGACTCAGGGCCTGGGCACTGTCCTTGAGCTTTTTTTTTTTGCTCAAGGCTAGTGCTGTACCACTTGAACCACCGCACCATTTCTGGCTTTTTCTGTGTATGTGGAATTGAACCCAGGGCTTCAGGCATGCTTAGGCAGGCCCTCTACCACTAAGCCACATTCCCAGCCCCAAGACTAGGTTTTTAAGGGGATTTTTCTTCAAGCCCCCAGGCTGGTCTTGAACTAATGATCTTCCTGACTCAGCTTTCCTAGCTGGGATTATATAGGCAAGGGCTGCTGTGCAGTTTAAGATTTTGAAAACATCCTTTAAGGAAATGCCAAGGAAGTTTCTAGCAGCCAACCATTTCCCGCTGTGAATCAACTCATTCCCAGTGAGTCACTGATTCAGGATGGAAATCAGAGCAGCAAGGATTTTAGCAGTTGTCATGTGGAACTTTAGGCCTTCATACTGCAAGGTGTGAGGACTCCCTATGAGAAGATCACTTCCAGTGGTTCCAGTTCCTTTCATTGGTGTCTATGTTTGGGGAGATCAGGAAAGAGGTTGGTTCCTATTGGACAAGGCTTCCTGGCGGGTGGGACTAAGATGGTTTCAAGTTTCTGGTCCCCATCAAGCGTGGAATAATCTCCCTGGCTCACTTCCTTTTCCCTCTTCCCCCCCTCCCTCTCTGCAGGTCCTGAGGCTTGAACTCAGGACCTGGGCCCTGTCCCTGAGCAACATTTGCTCAAAGCTAGCGCTCTACCCCTTGAGCCACAGTGCCACTTCTGGATTTTCTGATTCATGGGAGCCAGGAGTCTCATGGATGTTCCTGCCCCACTGTGGTTTCGAACCGTGATCCTCAGATCTCAACCTCCTGAGTAGCCAGGGGGACAGGCGTGAGCCCCGAGGCCTCCCACGAGGAGCGTGCTTGCTTAATCGGGCAGGGGGAAGAGACAGAGAGCCTTTATTGGTACAAGCTTCCGCTCCGCCAGGCGTCGTCCCTGCGGGCTCGCCGCTTCCAGCGTGTCCAGACCGTGTCAGCCACGCCGCGGCCTTGGCCCGGCTCCGCGGCCACCGCTCCGGCCGTGGCGTAGCGCCAT